CCCACACCTCGACGATACAGGTCTCTCGCGTTCTGGGCAGCACCGAGATCTTCTTGATCAGGCCCACGTCCGTGGCGACGTAGAGAACGGTGACACCGCGGTGCAACTTGGTGGGTGTCACGTCGATCGCGATGTGCGTGTACCTCTCGAGTATCGTGGTGCGGAGCGGTTCTAAGGTGGTGCTCTGCACGGCGTCGTCCATCAGCTGATACCTCTGGTTGTCTATGATTTCGTGAGGCAGAATGTTCGCGGAGACACTACATCGCTGTCGGTCGTGGTGTGGGACGGGTCTGCGTTCCCAGGCGGCGCCCAAATTCTCTTGGTGTTTGAAGGGTCCGTTGAAGCTGGCGGTGATGGCCGACATGTTGAACGCGCAGATCGCTGAGCCGGCGATTCCGTTGCTAAAAATACGCGACAACCCGCACCGATTAGACGTTTCTCCTTCTCGCACGCGCGACTGCTTTCGCCTCTCGAACCTCCTCTACCTACCCCTTCGATAGAAATCCACGAGGCCGATCCTATCGAGCGAGAAGCGCAGACATGGGGAAAAAAGACACGAAACGAACGTGAAACGACCCTTTGCTGTTCGGTTTGTACTTACGTGGGCGTGGTGAACGTCGCGTAAACCGTGTCCTCTTCCGGATGATAGACCGCGCCTTGAATCTCGTCGTAATAAAAGGGAAACTCGCCAGGGAGGGAGCAGTTCAACCGCGCCTTGCTAAAAGTAGTCCACACTTCCCTCATCATGATCTGCCCGCCGCGGTCGTTCTTGCAGACTCGCGCTATTCTCGAGTAGATTTTCTGAAAGCCAGAGCAGACGTAACGAAACGGTTCCTAGAAAACACGAATCGAGATCCATACTTTGCCGCAGTTGATGTACTCGACGGCCGACTCTCGGAACAGGAAGTACACGTGATCCTCGGTTTCGAAGCTGCCGACGAATTGCGGGTCGTTCAGCCACCTGAAAACGGTCTTTCGAGAAGCGTTCGCAGCATTTTCCGAGGGTAGCGAGCGTCGACGAGAACGTACCGAGAGTCGTACTGATGCGTGCGAAGATTCGGCGGAGCGAGGGTCCTGCAGATCGCGGCGTCCGCCCCGGAGAAGTCGGTCGGCGCTCCTGTGAACAGGCCCCCGGTCGATCCCCTGGCCAGCAGCGCGGTGACGTTCGCGCGCGGCGAGTAAGGACACATGGCGACACCGGACATCTCGCTGGTGACGCTGCTGATGTTCTCGATCTACGAAACGTCGTACAGCTCGATTCGCTATCGATGGAGATTGTTCATAAAGAAACCGCGAGGCTTACCTCTCTCCAGGTGCACCAAGGGCTGAAGGCGTAGGTGCCGCAGGTGAACAGGCTTTTGCCATTGCTGAGCAGTACCTTGACGTAGTTGCGGCAATCCTCGACGCTCTGTCCCTTGTTCTGGCAGGTGTTGATCTTGTCGTCGGGCGCGGGCCACGAAGCGTGCTCGAGCGGCGTCAGCGAGTTCAGCGTCAGCCGGTACAGATTGTCCCTGCGAGAGCGACACGATTGAACGCGGGACCGTTCGTTCGCGTGGGACGCGACGAAGCGTACGCGAGATCCGCGTAGAAAAGTCGGTCCGAGCGGGCACGGCGAAAGCGATCGCGAGCCGTCGTCGCCGGCAGGAAAGCCGCAACGAAGCATAAACGGCGCCTACGTGGGCGTGCGCCGCGACCAACTTCGCTTTAATTATTATTCGG